TGAATTAAAGAATAAAATATGACGAAAATAAGTCATCTTCCCTAACACAACCTTCCACCACCACCGGCGATCTCCTGCCTCCACTACTGGCCTAGCCACTTGCATGAGATTAAAAAAATCACCACCATTAGATTCGATTTTTTTTCAAATCGAACTTTAGATCTCGGGTGAGATTTTGAGAATAAAAAATCAGGGAGAATCTCCCTAGTTTTGTCGAATCGCATATTTGGTGCGATTTTGAGAACCAACTGAGGGATATTCCCTTGGTGGTCGATAAACCAGGGAGGTCTCCTTGTTTAGGAGAACCAAGGTGATTTTCCCTAATTTTTCGACCAACTCGGGGAATTTCTCCCTTTGGTATTGTGTGTTTGGCCATAAACCAGTGGGAGAAAATTATCATGTTGTCGATAGGGGTGTGAGATGGGTTTGCTATGGGTGAGGGTGGGAAGAAGAAACATTTTCGATTTTTTCTTTTTTCTTTTTATCTTAGTTCTTATCCTCTTTGTTTTATCATTTTTAATAATTTTGAGTGAGATTATGTGTAGCGGCTCTTGAACCCTTGATTAAATGAGTCAGATGAAAGTTAATTTATGAAATTTTAACAGTCTTTCGGACGAAAATCGTTTAAAGGTCCTTTTCGATGCACATTTATTAAAATATTTGGGATGTTGGTGTTGAGATTAAAAAGTTTGAGATCTGATGATATATTTTTGGAAGGTTGAGAACCTCTACTGCAAATTTACCTACTTTTAATTCGGTTGTTAATTATTAGCTATACTCTAATTATTATTGATGCGCGTGGGGTAGCCTCATTGTCCACTTTTATTCTGCGTGGGAGACAGGTGGTAGGTTGTCCCTTTTGGTTTTGACTAAATTGACCTCCCATTTTTTAACTTTTACACGATTAAGTGGTGAAATGGATTTTGTCTGATAAACAAAAATATTTCACTGATTGCCAAAACCAAAAAAATCCAGCCGTTACAACCTTGACTTCCTTCGAACCCCACTCACTGTATTTTACCCTAATTACCCTCATTGAAGCTCAGATATTACAACTCATGCCATACCACTCATTAACTCAGCCTACGAAGAGGACCCCCACCCCAGACCTTTTCACATGGCCAACAGAAGAAACAGACATTTTACTTGTAAAAGTTGCCCTATTGCTGGTTTGGAATACTCTAAAAGGCTGTAAAGTTGTGAAAAAAATTAAGTTAATTTAATTAAATATTTTATGAGATTCATAATTTTTATCAGCTATTTAATCATATATTTTATCAAAATCTATTAAAATATGTATCAAATTCCTTGTCAAACAACCACTTAATTAGCGTTCTTACTTCTTTTTTTTTTTTTTTTGGAGAATTTGGACAACCACCTGGCAAATTTGGACATCGTCGTGGTCATCTTTGCTTTTTCTTGATCTCTCGATAGTCAAATACAAGATTATATAGTCGTCATGTCCAAATTTCTTGTTAAAAATTGAAGTGGTGCGTATTTATTGACCTAGGACCTGTTTGATCCACATTCTTTCCGAAATTCATTCTTCAATACTCATTTTCAACCACACATTCTCCAATAAAATAATATTACACGCAAATTCAAAACTTTTCCTTATTTTTTAACCACGTATTTTCTATCACATCGCATCATTAAATGCATTTTCTTCTCAATAATGCGCATCAAAACACCTCCCTAATTAACTACATCTCCTTGTACCATTTATAATTCGTTAGGTTTATCACAGGATTGAAATCTACATAAGGTTTAACAAATTATACTTTTAATTTTATTCTATTTTTTGAATAAATATAGCATTGTGTAGGTAAAATACATGTTAACATTTTCTAAAAGCAAATTATTTTTGTGCAGATGGGCAAACAACAGCTGGGTTATACACTACATCAATTATAGAAATTTCAAATAATCATATCCACTATTTTGACCCAACAAGTATGAATGCAAGAACAAAGCTGAGTGACAGAACAGAATAAAAGAACTATTTGCCAATCAACATGTAAGATTAGGGATCTAATATAAAGTACAATCTATAGATCTTCATGGCTGACTTATAAGCTATATTAATTTTGTAGATTTTCAAATAAGCGAATCCACCGGTTTGGCTTTGGCCCAATGAATGTGAACGAAAGAACTAACAGGAAACATGTTTCAAAAATTCTCTGAAGGCAAAAAACAAAAAAATTGAGTGATACAATTGATACAATCAAAGTTATTTTAGGTGTTCCATAAATAAATAAAAAAAAAATGATTATGGAAGAATTTGTATTATTTGGCAGCACATTTTGAAAAGCAAGGTAGTTTATCATAATTTGCTTTTAACTTCTATAGTTATTTTATGGTTAAAAGATATCATTGTAATTAATGTATTATTTAGTAATGTATAAAACTATGCCACTTTTGTTCACCAAAAACTAAAATGCTTGTTTTAAAAAATACATTAATTCTAAAATAAAAATTTATCCAACGTTAAACGATTCTTCTGCACCATATTCTGTTTTTGCCACAGGAAAAACTGAATCTCTTGTGATTACAATAATATCGAACTAACCCTAAATGCTTATATATTAAATGATTGTACTATATGTACATCACAAATACATTCTTTCCGAAATTCATTCTTCGATACTCATTTTCAACCACACATTCTCCAATAAAATAATATTACCCGCAAATTCAAAAATTTACCTTATTTCTTAACCACTTATTTTCTATCACATCGCATCATTAAATGCATTTTCTTCTCAATAATGTGCATCAAACACCCCCAAATTAACTAGATCTCCTTCTACCGTTTATAATTCGTTAGGTTTATCACAAGATTGAAATCTACATAAGATTTAACAAATTATACTTTTAATTTTATTCTCTTTTTTGAATAAATATAGCATTGTGTAGGTAAAATACATGTTAACATTTTCTAAAAGCAAATTAATTTTGTGCAGATGGGCAAACAACAGCTGGGTTATACACCACATCAATTATAGAAATTTCAAATAATCATATCCACTATTTTGACCTAACAAGTATGAATGCAAGAACAAAGCTGAGTGACAGAACAGAATAAAAGAACTATTTGCCAATCAACATGTAAGATTAGGGATCTAATATAAAGTACAATCTATAGATCTTCATGGCTGACTTATAAGTTATATTAATTTTGTAGATTTTCAAATAAGCGAATCCACCGGTTTGGCTTTGGCCAAATGAATGTGAACCAACAGGAAACATGTTTCAAAAATTCTCTGAGGGCAAAAAACAAAAAAAATTGAGTGATACAATTGATACAATCAAAGTTATTTTAGGTGTTCCATAAATTTAAAAAAAAATGATTATGGAAGAATTTGTATTATTTGGCAGCACATTTTGAAAAGCAAAGGTAGTTTATCATAATTTGCTTTTAACTTCTATAGTTATTTTATAGTTAAAAGACATCATTGTAATTAATGTATTATTTAGTAATGTATAAAACTATGCCAATTTTGTTCACCAAAAACTAAAATGCTTGTTTTAAAAAATACATTAATTCTAAAATAAAAATTTATCCAACGTTAAACGATTCTTCTGCACCATATTCTGTTTTTGGCGCAGGAAAAACTGAATCTCTTGTGATTACAATAATATCGAACTAACCCTAAATGTTTATATATTAAACGATTGTACTATATGTACATCACTAATTATAGATTTGTTTACCTATAGATGATATGATCGAGTCAAAATTTGATTGTACTATATGTACATCACAAATTATAGATTTGTTTACCAATAGATGATATGATCGAGTCAAAATTTTACCAATCAACTATGTTAAGTTTTAATTATGTAATTGACAATTCTGTAAACAAAATGGATTTAATTGTAAATGTTGTAAAAAGTCAAGGAATAATATGCAATTATATGAAAATATGTTTATTAGGTTTAGGGTTCGAGTATGATAAAAAAAGGAAAATACAGAACGAATTTTCACTTGACATCGCCATGGATTGGCTCGAGTGTCAAAAATAGAACATTCAACGCTCGACTGTTGCCCTACCTTAGCTCGAGCGACAAGCCGTTGCTGAGCTCTCGCTCGAATGACAGGGTTGTCCGGAAAATTTTTATTTCGTGATTTTAAAGCTTTTTCCTTGGCCCATTACTTTTCTAACCTACCTATAAATACCAAAACACATCTGAACGTGAAAATTAAGGTTGATCATTGAGATAGCTTCATCAAAGAATATTCCTACATATTCCAATTTTCAACCTTCATCTTTTGAGTTTTGTTTTGATGAGAAAAATATCAAACTAAAAAATAAAATTTTCCCACTTTCTTTTTCAAACTTGCACATCGTCGTTTATACAATGACTTATCGAATTTATACTTGACACAATTTCACATTATCTTTCACATCTTGCACATTTAATCCAACCATTATAACACTTCCAAGTCATCAATCTGTCAACCAACTTATCAATCAAAGTGTACAATTAGCTTAATCCTTCTTTTTTTTAAACCCAATCTATAAACAATTATGTTACATATATCACTTGTTTTACATTATTTTTTATATTGCATCACATTTCAGTACATAATTGGACAATTTAAAAAAAAAAAAAACACTTTTCAGACATATTTTTTGAATTTTCACACAATACAAGGCAAAATATAATTCATGGAATGTTAGTATAATTCATCTGTAAATTATTCAATATATTGTTTTTCCTCTCTTAATTTATTTTTTCCCCTGAAAATTTAACCTCCACAGGACACGACTCGCCGAGTTAAGCACCAAATTACCCACGAACACCCACACTCCCCATTAGTGGCATTCATGTAACAAAGCCAAACTTCAAGCCTTCTAAATAATGCCTCTCTGCTTATAACCTCGAAGCCATTCCTGCATTTTTTTCTATCTTCCCCGAGGAGACACTCCACAACTGTCCCGTCTCTTCACCCATTTTTTTTTTCACTCAAGAGTATTATCTAATTCTGTAATACAATGGGATTGGGCAGTGGCACTGTGATTTGGTTATTTGCCATTGTTGTTGTTATTCAGTCATGCCTTTTCACAGTTTCAGCCAAGAAAATCTATATAGTTCGCATGAAACATCACCAGAAGCCCATTTCCTACTCCACCTACAGTGGTTGGTACGCTGATCATCTTCAATCCCTCACTTCCGCCACCCCAGATTCCCTCCTATACACCTACGAAGCCGCCTACAACGGCTTCGCGGTGGCGCTAGATCCCGAGGAGGCTGAGTCCCTCCGGCAATCGGATTCTGTACTTGGGGTGTACGAAGACACGCTCTATAACTTGCACACTACTCGAACTCCTGAGTTTTTGGGTCTTGAGAGGGAGCTTGGATTGTGGGCTGGCCACCCCCCGCAGGAACTGAACCAGGCCTCTCAGGATGTCATTGTTGGGGTGTTGGATACTGGGGTCTGGCCTGAATCGAAGTCGTTTAACGATGTGGGTATGCCAGCAGTTCCGTCCGGATGGCGTGGCCAGTGTGAGGTAGCTGCTGATTTTGATCCCAAAATCAATTGCAACAAGAAGCTCATAGGTGCGCGATTCTTCTCCAGAGGTTACAATATGGCTTCTGGGGGGAAGGAATTACCATCCCCGCGCGATCATGATGGTCATGGCACGCACACGGCAAGCACCGCCGCCGGGTCCTACGTAGCAAATGCAAGCCTCTTAGGGTACGCTGCTGGAACTGCCAGGGGAATGGCCACCCACGCCCGGGTGGCGACCTATAAAGTTTGCTGGAAAACAGGGTGTTTTGGATCTGATATTCTAGCTGGAATGGAGCGTGCAATTCTCGACGGTGTTGATGTATTGTCCCTATCTCTAGGCGGTGGATCTGTTCCTTATTATCGCGATACCATCGCCATTGGAGCTTTTGCAGCAATGGAGAAAGGGATTCTCGTTTCATGTTCAGCAGGAAACAGTGGCCCTGCTAAAGCTACATTAGCAAATGTGGCTCCATGGATTATGACTGTTGGTGCAGGTACACTAGATCGGGATTTCCCAGCTATTGCTACTTTAGGTAATGGTGAAAAATTTAGTGGAGTGTCATTGTATAGTGGAAAAGGAATGGGGGAAAAATTACTGGGATTGATTTACAACAAGGGTGGCAATAGTTCGAGCAATTTGTGTTTGGCTGGTTCACTTGACCCGACCATTGTTCGTGGAAAAGTGGTTGTATGTGATCGAGGGATCAGTGCAAGGGTGGAGAAGGGTGCTGTAGTGAGGGATGCTGGTGGGGTGGGGATGATACTTGCCAACACGGCCACAACAGGGGAGGAGCTGGTAGCGGATAGTCACTTGTTACCCGCGATGGCGGTGGGTAGGAAAGTGGGGGATATCATAAGGAAGTACGTTGAGACGGACAAGAACCCCACTGCGGTGCTCGGATTTGGTGGAACGGTGTTGAATGTAAAGCCATCACCAGTGGTGGCTGCATTCAGCTCTAGAGGGCCTAACATGGTGACTCCTCAGATACTGAAGCCTGATGTTATTGGACCTGGAGTCAATATCTTGGCCGCTTGGTCTGAGGCTGTTGGTCCTACTGGTCTGGAGCAGGATACTAGGAAGACAAAGTTCAACATTGTGTCAGGTAAGGATTACTATTAATAACTAGTTAAAGTTTATTATAGAATCCTAAAATTCTATACAATTGTGAAAAATAGAAAGAGCCCAATGGATTTATCCTACTATTCAATTATACCAGTTGGTGGGAACTGAGGCATGGATTAAGATAGGCCCGTTTGATTTGTAGAATGAGAATGAAAAATATAGCTGTTATTGGGCTCCACACAAAATATAGAAATTCAAAATTGATGGCTTGATGTGATGGATAACGATGATATTTTTCATTTTTATGAATCAAAAATGAGAAACAAACGAGGGCAGAAATTAGCTGATTCTCAGATGTAATAGACAACAATTACAATATAGATTCACAGGTTTTTGAGGATGATAAAATATCGATATATCTACAAAGATGTTAGCTAATCAGGATAAGCATATAAAAATATGCATCCTTTCTTTCTATTTTTCTTCGTTTTAATTATCCTGAGAAATAGAAGATGTGACGAATTTGATTTCTGCAGATGAATTAATCTAAGATAAATAACATAATTAAGTGCACACATAATATTAGGTAATGTTTCGATTAAACTCATTCAGTATGGATACTTATAGAAGAAAACACCTTTTTTCTGTTTGTTTTTCAAAAGAGGAAAAGGTTGTTTACAAAAGACAAGTTTTGCCTAACTTCTAGAAATAGTTTGTGGAGCTTTTGTGTATGCACCTGACAAATTTGTCAATTATTTTGGCTAGAGATTGATAGTGGAGAGCCTTCTACGAATGCTTCCAGAAATTTGACTTGTTCATTACCAGTTTTGCTTTGTCCTTACAGATTTATTTACAATACATTGATAGTTGTGATTGTGGTGCATCTAGAAATAATTCTCGTTCTCCCACGATAAAAGCACCACATTAAGTGTTGCCTTCACATCATGCTTTAAGAATGCGACTGGTCCTACAAAATATTGTTAATCAACACTTACAAATTATCTTACCTCAATTAGTGGACTAGACCTACTTAAAAGTACCTCAATCATAGAGCAGAATGAGCTGGAAAGAAGACACTAACAATGTAACAGAATGTGTGGATTATGAAAACGATGTACAAAGACGTACATAACCCATAATACTCTGATTTTAACCACTCTTGAAACTTGAAATCCAGGTTTTCTGATGATATCAATGCTTAATTTACTCGTGTCATCTGATGAAATATGCAGGTACATCAATGTCCTGCCCACACATTAGTGGATTAGCTGCATTGCTGAAAGCAGCACATCCTGATTGGAGTCCAAGCGCCATCAAATCTGCACTGATGACGACAGCCTACACACTTGATAACACCAATTATCCTTTGCGTGATGCTGCAGACAACTCATTTGCTAACCCATGGGCTCATGGATCTGGCCATGTTGACCCACGCAAGGCCCTCTCCCCAGGTCTCGTATACGACATCACGCCAGAGCAGTACATTATGTTCCTTTGCTCTTTGGACTATACCATTGAGCATATACAAACCATTGTGAAGCGTCCAAACATCACATGTTCTGGGAAATTTACTGATCCCAGCCAGCTTAACTATCCTTCCTTTTCAGTCCTGTTTGGCAAGTCTAGAGTTGCAAGGTACTCCCGTGAATTGACAAATGTAGGAGCTGCAAGGTCTATTTATCAAGTGACAGTTCAAGCGCCTCAGAATGTGGTGGTGACTGTGAAGCCCTCAAGGCTCTTTTTCAGAAATGTAGGCGATAAGCAACGATATACAGTTACTTTCGTGTCAAGGAAGGGCATAAATCAGTTGGGTAGGAATGCATTTGGTTCCATTTCTTGGAAGAATGCCCAACATCTTGTGAAGAGTCCAGTTGCCTTCTCTTGGACACATCTATGAGGTTGAATGATCTTAATTTCCCATGATTTATGTTAACGTTCTGTTCTGTTAAACACAGTGACAAATCCCGACTATAGTTTGTCAAGAATCTGCAAAGATCAATCTGCCAATATGTAGACCTGTTTGTTTTAATATTAAAGTAACTAAATTTCCCTCCTCGCAAACATGGAGGGCCTCGTTAATTTGGTCCATATTCCAGTTAATCTTAATGGCTCATCACTGCAGTGCGTGTTTTGTTTTGATTAATAATGCATTGTTATCTTATTGATTACTTGTATATTCAGCCTGATTAATTATGGAAGCAATTCCATGTCAATTGAAAG